AATCCAGCTCTGTTGACGAGTCCCTGAGGGTTCTTGCCTCGGTTTATCCCTTGATCATTACAAGGTATGTTGCGCCTCGGGGCGTTTCTCCTGTCTTCGGTGTATGGCTGGTACCTTTCTTTCTTAGGCATTGGCTCCTTCGCCAGAAGCCTGCTTGGGTATACCGAGCCCGAGAGGGCTCCCAATTAGTTGTCCTCAACCCTGATTTTTGATTGGTATAGGTTGTGAACGTCCAACCAGGTCATGGCAGGATATTCGACCAGATTCTGTTTCAGCTGCTTCGGAGCCACCGAGCTTCATTCATTCAGACCTAGAGTGAAGGCCTGCACTGCCTAGTCATCGGAGACTGGTGGCAGTTCCATTCGTTCCATTTGAAAGCGAGATACAAACTCTCGCAACATTTCATTCTCCCTCTACTTAATCGTGAAGATGTCAGACTTCCTCATTGCTACTTTGATGGAACCAGCATGTGCCTTTATGAAAGAATGTGTCAGCATGGCAAATGAGTCTATAGAGCTAGGAGCTAGGTTGTGATACCACATCATGGACCCTTTCGAAAGTGTTTCCCCGAACCTCTTTAGAAAGACGGACTCGATCTCGTCATCTTTTAGGTCATTGCCCTTCACTGCACAAGTGTAAGCAGTAATGTGCTCATTGGGTTCAGAGGTTCCATTGTATTTCGGAAAGTTTGGCATTCTGAACTTCTTTAGAATGGGTTTTGGAGCCACTTCCTCCGGGAACGGCCTTTGTATGAACTTCTTTGAATCCACACCTTTTAGGATAGGGGGTGCGCCCAGAATTTGGTTGACCCTGGATTTATAGGTCTCAACCTTTTTGTCGTTGGCTTCTATATTCTTCTCGCCTGATTCGATCCTCTTTGTGTGGTCCTCGAGCATCTTTACGATGGTGGGGTCGGCTGCCGACCCGTTGTTGCTTGATCTCTCCAGTACCTACTCGGCTGGGGTAGCCGTCCCAGGCGCTATCATGTATGGAGTTTTCCGGTGATTTTGTAGCTGAGCAATTACTAGCTGTTGTGCCTGCAACATTTCAAAAATAACGTGAAGGCTAACCTCCCGTTCTTCCCTAGCCGGAGTTTCCTAAGCTTCTTGTTGGTTTCCTTGGTGCACGCTCATGTTGGTATGGGAGCTTATATCGACGTGTTGGGCATCGCGTGAGACCGCATCCATGGGAATTGGTTCTGGTGCATTCTCAGGGTTTTGTGGTGGTGCACCGACACCTAGAACATCCACACCATTTTCTCCATGGTCCTCAAGATTGTTGTTTTCGCCTCCATTTACCGAGTTGGACATTTTGACCTGAAATCGAAGATCTTGGACAAGAAAAAGTGTGAAAGATAACTTGCATTGTGTAGTAAAACCAGCAAGAAAATAATCAGTATTATTTTTAGCCCCACGGTGGGCACCAAATTGTTTACCGTGAAAATGGTAATAACAATTAAATTTGATTTAATGGTTCTAAAAATACTTGATCTATTTTTATGCTAGTTGTTAAGTAGTTGTTGTTATGTGAAAGACTTAGAAACGAGATAAGAGCTTGAAAGCAAGGTGATAACCAAACCGTATGATTAATAATCGGGGTCTCGAGCTTGCCTATTCGATGATCTTGAGGTCGAGTATGATGCTCGGCTGGGAGCTATCGAGGGTGATCAATGGAGATTAACAGTCATAAATAAATCAATGATGCCTCTTTAAGGACAATAATAAGCAATAAATGATGTAATGAGATCAAGAGAATGTGTTAGAGAGCAGAGAGAATGTTCTTGTAAATTTAGTATTGAGCAACTGATGTTTACAAAATGACAAGGATTACCTTTATATATGAGAGGGAATCCCAATATAGTGCAAATGCATTGATTACAAAGATATGGGGCTGGTACAACCATTTAATGTCTTGATTCGCTTTTTTGGACTAGTCCATTAGGCTTTGTCAGCTATATGTACGTGCCTTGGGAACTTCGCCCTGATCCACCGAGACCACTGGTTTACATTGCCTCGAGGTTGATCACCGAGAACCCTTAGAGTCGATCACTGAAAATCCTTGAGATGCCTTGATGATTGTAAAATAGGACCATCGATTTCTACCGTATACAATAATTTTTATGATAAATATAATTTATTTTATGATAAGCATATAATCATAAGTTTTAATTATTAATAATTGACAAAAGTTTCTCAGCAAAAAATAACCCTAAATAGGACAAATTATTTGAAGAGAAACAAATATTGTCTTCATCACCACAACACTTAGAAACCAATACACCAAAAATTTGATATGACCTCATTTATTACATTCAGTTCAAATATATAAATATTAATACACAATCACATAGATATAAATATGCAAAGTAATAGAGAATTTGCTTATCTTAAATACTCAATGAGAATTGCAGACTTGAAGAGGTGGGGAGGGGGTGAGGGGAGAGGGGGTTTAGGTTGAATACTTGAGGCAGTGAGTATCGATGTAGGAGTTTTGTTCTAAAAGGGAATATTTTAAGGATAAAATAGTAAAAACTTTGGTCAAACTTAAAGTGCTTATAAGCTAAAAATTCATAAGCTGGGGGTGACCAGCTTATGGCTTTTGGCTTATTTTTGACTTATAAGCACTTGGCTTATAAGCACTTTTAACTTTACCAAATGTGTAGATAAGCCGAAAAGTGCTTATAAGCTAAAAATTCATAAGCTGGGGGTGACCAGCTTATGGCTTTTGGCTTATTTTTGACTTATAAGCACTTGGCTTATAAGCACTTTTAACTTTACCAAATGTGTAGATAAGCCGAAAAGTGCTTATAAGCTAGTTTGATCAGCTTATAAGCTTAGCCAAACACCCTCTAAGTTACTTAGTGGCATTAAGTTGCTAATAAGCTTTTAAGTTGCGGCATTAAGTGACTAATAAGTGCATTTAAGTGGCAACATTACGTGACCAATAATTGCCTTTACGTGATGGCATTAAGTGGTCATTTGGTAGATTGTATAAAAATAGTACTGAATATGATGTACTAGTACCATTGAAATTAATTATGTTGAGATTATTTTTTATAGACCGGTTGGTTTTGGTATATTAAAAATAATATGCATTGCATAATTTTTAAATAAAAAATTATTTATGTACAAAAATACCCTTCACATTCTTTGGAAAAGATTTGAAAAGGATTTAAAGGGATATTTATGTCTTTATACATGTTTATCCATGTATTAAAAATCATAATATTGTTAATGCCATAAATTTTTATTCTTAAGGGGTATACCAAAGCTTAAAAATCACTTATTATTAATTCGGGGAGTATCAAATAACCCCAAAGTGGCTAATAAATGTCTTTAAGTGATGTTGACTAGAGTTAGTTAACTAAGCTGATAAGTTAATTGTATAACTATAGTCAGTTAGTTAGTTAGTACAGTAAGTAGGAGTTAGTTATACTGTAGTTGCCTAAATATACTGTACACCCTATAATGAAATACACGCTTGTATCATTCTGTTCTTCTTCTTCTTTTAATACAGAGATCAATTTCTCTCAAGTGTGGGTTTCCTCTGCGTGTCTTCTTCCTTAAGCTTGATCTCCAGATCTATGATAGCTAACATGGTATCAAAGCCACTGGAGTGAATCGAAGACATCTCTCAAGCTAGCTCTTCCTCTCGCTACCTCAATTTCACAATTCTGTGGGAAATTATCCAATTGTAGCGTGTAGCTGAAAACCTAGGGTTTAATCTTGAAGAAGAAACTGAAAATGACGATTGGAGAAGAAACAACTACTGATATGCCAATAATGCAACTTCTACAGCTATGTTTCCGCCAATTGACCACAATCATCCACTTTTCCTTCAACCAACAAACACTCCAGGTAGCAATCTGATCTCTCTTCAACTTACTAGTTCAGATAACTACGCGATATGGAGTAGGTCTATGAGGATTGGTCTGTTAGGGAAGAGTAAGTTGTGCTTTGTGGATGGTCGATTTCCTACGTCTAAATTTGAACCTGAACTTCATTATCAGTGGGAGAAAGTGAATGTTGTAGTTCTCTCATAGATAATGAATGCAGTAAAGCCAGGATTACTTAGTAGTGTAGTATATGCCCCTAATGCTCATAAGGTTTGGGAAGACTTAAAGGAGAAATTTGACAAGGTAAATGGATCTAGGGTTCTGTATCTCAGTAGAGAAATTCATAACATCACTCAAGGTACTATGTTTGTTGCTGACTACTTCTCTAAGCTAAGAGATCTTTGGGATGAGTTCAATGCAATAATGCCATGTTCTGGTTGTCCTTGGCCTGAATCAAAGAAATATGCCCAATATTTTGAGTATCACAAGCTACTACAATTTCTGATGGGATTGAATGAGTCCTACTCATAGTCAAGGAGTCAGATTATGATGTTGTACCCAATTCCTATCATTAACAAGGCCTACTCACTATTGATTGATCAAGAAAGCCAAAGGAGTCTGGCTAATTTTACTCAGATTAGTCAAAATACTAAAGGCATAGAAGGAGCAGTGTTCTATAGTAATAAAAACTCAACAAATGCAGGTGAAAATTTCAAGTTTAGAAAGAATCAAGTGTAGTGTGACTATTGTCACTACAATGGGCACAGAAAGGAGAATTGCTACAAGCTTCATGGCTATCCTTCATACTTCAAGGGAAAAATGAAAGGGCAGAACTCTAGAGTGTATTCAAATAATATGAGTGTTTTAATGTCTCCAAATACTACTGAACCTGACAATCAACAAGGTGCTTATGGAACTCAATCAGGAATACAGCAGGTTCAGCATGCCTACATGCCTCAGTTTTCTCAGACTACTCCTAATAATAGTCCTACTGCTCCTTTCTTCACTAAAGAGCAGTATCAACAGATACTTCAGATGCTAGCCCAAAGGGAATGAAGAGGGTCCAAAATCATCCAGTAAGCTAGCTGCTGCAGGTACTCTACTCACTCTAATGTCCAATTTTCTCAAGCAAAATTGGATTATAGACATAGAAGCCTCAAATCATATGACTTCTCAACTTGATGCACTTACTTCTTGTCCGTCCATTCCCAGTTCTGAGAAGTTCAAAGTCCAATTACCTACTGGAAATGTAGTTTCTGTATCACATAAAGAAACCTCATTAGTACTTAGAAATAACAATATTTCCAATGTGTTGTACATTCCAGAATTTAAATACAACCTGCTCTCAATATCTCAACTCACCAAAGAACTTCAATGCATGGTTGCATTCTTCCCTGACTTCTGCATTTTCCAAGATCTCTATAGTGGTCAGGTGAAGGGGATTGGTAAGGAGAAGCATGGCTTGTACATACTTCAAGGAGGACTTTCCCAGGATTCATCAGCAACATCAATCAATAAGTGTGCTCACGCAGCTAGCTTAAATAATTCTATAGATATATGGCATTGGAGACTCGAGCATGCTCCTATTGATGTAATAAGGAAGTTAGATGCTCTTAGTACCCTAAATAAAGGACCACAATACGGTCATGTATGTCCAGTTGCTAAAAAGTCCAAACTACCTTTTTCTCTAAGTACTTCAGTATCTAATGTTGCGTTTGAATTAGTGCATTATGATATTTGGGGGCCATATAGAGTTCCCTCATATAGTGGTAAGAGGTACTTTGTTATAGTAGTTGATGACTATACCAGATACACTTGGATTTTCTTGCTCAACTTCAAGTCAGAAGTTATAGTTGTACTAAGAGACTTTCTAACTCAAATAAAAAATATGTTTTCATCTTCTATAAAAGTCTTAAGGACTGATAATGGTAGTGAGTTCTTTAGTAATGAGTTTAAACAATTGCTTTCTACTCTTGATATATTTCATCAGAGTTCATGTGTTTACACACCTCAACAAAATGGAGTTGTTGAGAGAAAACACAGAACAATTCTAGACATGTCCAGGTCTCTTAGATTTCAGGCAACTATACCCCTCAGGTTTTGGGGTGAGTGTGTTACCACAGTAGTCTATCTCATCAACAAACTACCCTCTAGAACTCTTGGGTACAAATCACCATTTGAGTTGCTCTACTTACATCCTCTTTCTCTGCAACACTTAAAAGTTTTGGTTGTCTGTGCTATGCAACATGTCCCAGTATTGTTGACAAGTTCTCACCAAGAGTTATTCCTGTTGTTTTCCTTGGTTATTCGTCCTCTCAAAAGGGCTATGTCTTGTATGACTTGAATGCTAAGTCTTCATTTGTTAACAGAAATGTTGTCTTTCAGGAAGGTATTTTTTCTTTCAAACATGTGTCACCTTCAGGTAGCACTGTGTTTCCTATACTGGATCTATTATCCTCAACTAGTACAGATCCCAGGCCTTCTACTGCAGATTCCTCACCTGAAGTTAGTCCTTCTTCACCTGAGTCTAGCACTACATCTGAGGGGGACTACACTTCACCTCCTGAAGATACTATTATAGATATTGTAGCACTAGAAGATCCTCCACCTAATACTCCTCTTGAGACTGATCCTGTGACTGCCCCACCTGATGCTGCTCCTATTCAAGTCAGAAAATCCTACAGGACCAGCAAACCTCCCATTTGGATGTAAGACTATATGGTGCAATCACATGATGTGTAGTGTCCCTATCCTATTTCTGCTTATGTCAGTTACTCTCATATCACTCCCTCATATAGCAGAGTATTGGTTTCCTATTCAGTTGGTTCTGAACCTCAATCCTTTGTTGAGGCAGTTACAGATCCTCAGTGGGTGGAGGCTATGAGGTTGGAAATTGCAGCATTAGTGGAAAATAAAACCTGGAGTATAGTTGATTTACCTCCTGGTAAAACTCTTATTGGTTGCAGATAGATATTCAAAATCAAGTATAAGGCTTAAGGAGAGGTTGAAAGATACAAGGCCAGACTGGTTGCCAAAGGTTACAGTCAAAAGAAAGGTTTAGACTATAGTGAAACCTTCTCTCCTGTTGCTAAAATGGTCATAGTTAGATCAATTGTGGCCCTTGCTGCATCTTAGCACTGGATGATTTATCAGATGGATGTTCATAATGCATTTCTAAATGGTGATTTGGTTGAAGAAGTGTATATACACATTCCACAAGGGTTTGCAAGCCATGGGGAGAGTAAGAAGGTTTGCAAACTCTACAAGTCATTATATAGGCTTAAACAAGCACCAAGACAGTGGAATATGAAGCTGACAGAGGTACTTTTGCAGATGGGCTTCAAGCAGAGTCATTATGACTATACATTGTTCATCAGAGAAGCAAATGGTGACGCAGTTATTATTCTTATGTATTTGGATGACTTGCTGATCACAGGGAACAATGATAAGTCATTGCATGATACCAGGACACAGTTGCAGAAGAAGTTCAAGATGAAGGACTTAGGGGAGCTAAAAAATTTCCTTGCCATTGAATTTGCTAGATCAAAGGAAGGAATTCTTATGTTCCAAAGAAAGTATGTACTTGAATTGATGTCTGAAACAGGTTTAGGTGGTGCAAAGCCCTCTGGTACACCATTGGAGTTGAATAAAAAACTCACATATGTAGAATGTGATAAGTGCATTCAAATTACAAATCAAGAAGGTGATCAGAATCTTAAAGACCCTAGCTGTTATCAGAGACTTGTTAGAAGGAGTTATACATCACCATGACCAGACTAGACATTGCTTTTGCAGTGCAGGTCCTAATCCAGTATATGCATTGTCCTAAGGTGTCACACATGGAAGCTGCTCTCAGGGTAGTTAGATACATCAAACAAGCACCAATCCAGGGGCTACTTATGCCTGCAGAAAGAGCAGACAAGCTGATTGCTTATTGTGATTCTGATTGGGCATCTTGTATAGAGTCGAGGAGACCAGCAACTGGATACTTGGTTAAGTTTGGAAATGCACTGGTGTCTTGGAAATCAAAGAAGCAAATAACTGTGTCCAAAAGTTCAGCTGAGGTCGAGTTCAAGAGTATGGCCTCATGTGTAGTAGAGGTCGCCTGGATGATAGGTCAAGGAACTTGAAGTGAAGATTCAACAGCCTATAAGTTTGATATGTGACAGCAAGGCTGCAATACAAATAGCAGCTAACCTTATCTTCCATGAAAGAACTAAACATATTAACATTGATTGTCATTTTGTTAGAGAAAAAATTTGTGAAGGATTGCTGAAGACACACTATGTGCATACTAAAGACCAACTAGCAGATCTACTTACAAAGAGTTTGGGAAAGTTTCAACATGATCAGCTGTTGAATCAATTAGGAGTAAAGAATGTATATAAACCATCAGTCTGAGGGGGAGTGTTGACTAGAGTTAGTTAACCAAGCTAATAAGTTAATTGTATAACTATAGTTAGTTAGTTAGTTAGTACAGTAAGTAGGAGCTAGTTATAATGTAGTTGCATAAATATAATGTACACCTTGTAATGAAATACACGCTTGTATCATTCTGTTCTTCTTCTTCTAATACAGAGATCAGTTTCTCTCAAGTGTGGGTTTCCTCTACGGGTCTTCTTCCAAAAGCCTGATCTTCAGATCTATGACAGCTAACAAGTGATAGCATTAAGTTAAGTAGTTAATAAGTACTTCCTCCGTTCCAATTTATGTGAACATGTTTGACTGTGCACGGAGTTTAAGAAAAAATGAAGACTTTTGAAATTTGTAGTCCTAAACAAGTCAAAAATGAGCCCAGAGTATTTGTGTGGTTATAAAAGCTTCTCATTAAGAGTAAAATTATAAATTTAAGCTAAATTATTACCAAATTTAGAAATAATTCATTTTTTTTTTGAACGGACCAAAAAGAAAATAGATTCACATAGAGTGAAACAGGAGAATACTTTTTAGGTGGCGGTATTAATGGCTAAGTGTCTTTAAATATCAAAATATATTTGTGGCTAGTAACTGCCTTTAATCCTTTCTTTCAAACAAGAAAGAAAAATTGACTTGCTGTCATAACATGTACGAAGAGTTGTCAGATTTTAAAAATGACCATAGTATTTTGAAAGCGAAAGAAATCGCCGTCAGGCTTCAGCTAGTCCACCAACTCTTGCCACCACTTTTTTTTTTTTTTTTTTTTTTTGCCTACTTTCCTCACCGAACGGCCTACTAAACTGTTTTGGCCAATTTTTGTCGTCTCTTGTCCTTGGCCCGATTAGTCACGTCTCATTTCTTAATAAAGAATGTCAGAATTTTAAAAAATAATTTTTTGAAGTTTATAAAATTTTCGAACAATTTTGAATTTCATCTTTAAATGAAAAATCGAAAATTTCATTGTCTAATATTAATTTCGAAAAAAGTACTTTTTAGGTGACGGTATTAAGTGGCTAATAAATACCTTTAAATATCAGTATTATGAGTGGCTAGTAAATGCCTTTAATTCTTGCTTTTAAACATTAAAAGAAAAATGAACATTTGTTGCCATAAGATGCACAAGGAGTAGTCAGATTTTGAAAGCGAAAGGAATCTCCTTCAGCTAGTCCACCAACTCTTGCCACCACTGTTTTTTGCTTACTTTCCTCAGCGAATGGCCTATTAAATTGTTGTGCTATAATCTGGTCAAGTTTTGTCCCGATTAGCCCCGTCTCATTTTCTAAAAGAAAAGTAATGTCAGAATCTTAATGTCCGGTTCTGGATTCATCACGTGATAGTTATGCTCTTTCTCCATAATTCTTAATTATTACGGTGGGTTGCTATAAGCACCCTCTACTTTCACTAAACAGGTTGTGAGTTCGAGTCACCCAAAAATAAGGTGGAAAGTTCTTGAAGAGCAGGATACTTAGTCCAAACCTCACTAGTGGGATTATACTGGGCAAGACTCCGTTCAACTAGCTTACATCTTAGTGCGCATTTGGACATAAGAATTGTAAAAAAATTAAAGTGAAAATGTAATTTGAAAATTAGAGTTATATATTTGTACATGAATATAATTTGGGGCTGTTTTTGAATTTTTCTGGATAATCTGAAGTGAAAATTTTAAAAAATAGCTTTTTGTAGAGTTTTTCAAATTTTCAAAAATTTTTGAATCATCTTTAATCGAAAATTGAAATTTTCAAGGCCAAACAGTGATTTCGAAAAAAAAAAAGAATCTTTTGTTATGGCTAAACGGTCCTTAATCTGATTAGACTCACTCATATTTTTACTCAACTCCTCAGGTTAATGCCGTTTTAGAAAAGGCTGAACTAGATACAAGATTACTACATCCGCTTTAATTTAAAAAAGTTACTTTGATAGGACATGAAGCTTAAGAAAATAATAAAAATTAGTAAAATCAGTTGTATTAAATTCGTTATAATATTTGTGTGGTTATAAGATATTTAAAGCTCGTGCGGCTACATAAAGTTATTCTTGCATTAAAATAATGACGTTATTTACTTATTAGTCGATTTTTAAAATAATGGTATTTTTTTAAAAAACATATTCAAGATTACAAGTTATAATATTTTTATAGTTATACAAGTTTTTCCCCGAAAAAAAGTCTATTCATTCTTGAATTGCATACTGAATTAAAATACATTATATAAATTGAGGTACTATAACAAAACTCAGTTGAACTCGTTGGCTTTGACTCCGAGACGTGAATTTATGATTTCTAAAACATGATTGCACCATAATAAATGGTATTAAGTGGGAATTAATCTTGCACCATTCCATATTTTTAGAGCATAGAAGTTAGCAAATAATATTATACTAATTCTAGAAAATACATACATAAAATACCTAATTTGATGAAAAAAGATCATGAGTTCACATACCCTATAATTGAAGCAAAAATCCGCCCTGGCAGGAAGCTTCGAATTTAAAATTCTGCCCGACATATTCTTATCAAAGGAAAAATGGGTAACCTATATCAATACAATTGAAATCACTGAGAATTTGTCCCCTTGACAACATAAATTAGACCTAATTATCTGATTTGAAAAGAAAGCATATGAAAATTACTGCAAACCACTATGGATGAGATTAAAAAGTAGATCTGATTATTTAAAATGAAAATATAACCCAAGCTCAGTGGAAAACTATTGTCAGATTGTTACAGTAGATAATATAAGTGAAACCTTGAATTTTCTTCCCTTCTAATCTTAAGTTACAAGTTAGAACTTAAGAACTTGTTTCTTTCGACTTCCTTGTTTCCCCATTGCCTTTTCAAGAGCTGTATGAAAATCATTAAAAGGTACTAGCTCCATCCTGTATTAAATATTTCAACACATTAATATCAGTACACTGTTCATTTAATGTTACTTACACTTTATTGAAATAATGTAAAGCGAAAAACAAAAAGTCGTCCATATCTAGTGATATGTGAATTGCTCCACAATCCTAGTTGGCGAAAATAGCTTATAAATAAGAACGCTCAACCTACCCCTGCTCAAATGGGGGAAAATTCTCAAGTCGATTAACTATATACTCCCTATTATTGTAATTTAACTTTTGTGCATCGATCAAATAACATAATTTTTCAACTACAAGTAATTTGATCTATATATAGAGAGAGAGGGCGAGAGATCGTACTCATATTTCAATCTCCCGGCACGGGCAAGGGCCAAGAGATAATCAATCGAACACCTATATTGTGCTTGGTCTAAATTCTTTTCTTGCAGCCAGAATCCTCTCAATGAAACATCCTGTAAAGAAAGAAAAAAAAAAGGAAAAAAAAAATCCCAACAACATTTCAATATTCTTTTTCCAACCAAGTATGTAATTAACAATCCAAAAGATTATGTAATGTTTAAATTTCATATTTGACTGTTTGAAACTAACCTTAAAAATGAAAGATGAAGTAGATATTGTAATAGGTTTCTTTGACATCCCTCCATATGTAACCATAGTGCCACCTTGCCTGAAATATCATGGTATTATGTTAATTTTCTTTATAACAAATTGGTGAAAACTTAAGCTTAGAAGAAAACCAAATTAAATTAACAAAAGGTGTCTCACCTTAATAATTTTATAACTAAAGTAGCTGCATTGCCACCAATACAGTTCAAACCCAAACGAGGTTCAGGTATATCATCCTAGAACATGCACATAAATAACACCGGAAATTAGTCACTGCTACAACATGTTAAAATATATTAATAGTATAAATTAATTTGAAGGAGTCTTAGAGTAACGGTAAAATTGTCTCTACTTATTAGAGTTTGAGCCGTGGAAGCAGCCACTAATGCCTGCATTATAGTGGGCTATTTACATCACATCTTTTTGGAGGATGCGACCCTTTTCCGAACCATGTGTGAACGCAAAATATTTTATGCATCGGTATAAATTAATTTGTGGTCTAGTATAAACATACCAAGAGACTTTTGATAGATTTCACATCCAATTCACTCTCAGTAAACACCAAATCAGCACCAAGTTTCATTAATTTTTCTTTAACTTCATCAGATCCTGGCTTATCTCTTATGATATTGATGCTATGAATTCCACGAACTCGAGCTAGCTGAATGACACATTGCCCCACAATACTTGTTGCTCCATTTTGCACAATTGTGTCTCCTATTTTGTAGAGAGAGTAATTAGTAAAAAATTAGATGGTTTGAAGAAAGAAAACTAAAGTAATTAAAGAGTTTTTGGGAATTATTTAAACCTGGTTTTAAAGCCACAAAGTCCTCGAGCATTCTCAAGGCGCTCAAAGGATTAACAGAACATGTGGCAGCATATTCAATTGGGGTGCTTTTATCAATTTTGTGCCATAAACTTTGGTCTTCTACAACGTAGGTCTGCCATGTACCTGAGTAGATACATAAATACAAATGTCACTGCAAATTACATAATTTAAACTTAGTGAATTTTTGTTGCTTATATATATGTGCCTAGGGATGGCAAATGGGCAGGTCGGGTGGGGTCGAATATAGATGGGTCAAAAGGGTAATACAAAAATGGATAAATTATTCGACCCGACCCATATTTGATATGGACAGAAAATGGGTTAAAAGACGGATAATACGGATATTCATAGCTTTTTGAATATGACCACTTTTGGGAGAATTCTTAGTCTCGTAAACTTGAAGAACCCCCAATTTCAGTCTATACAAATATAAAAGTTAAACTCATTAGTTATTCATTGGTTATCCATTTTCTAAGCGGATAATATGGTTTTATTCCATATTTGATCCGTTTTTGAAGAGCTCAATAACCAACTCATTTTTTGTAGATAATATGGGTGGATAACTGGTTTTTTTAATCCATTTTGCTACCACTATATGTGCCAATAATTTGTTCACACAAACACATTGCGTATATAGTCTGAGTTAGATCAACAGTTTAAGATTCGAACCCTGGGTATGGAATCGTCTTAGTTAGGGAGCATTTTACTATCAAATGTGACACTTTCTATGCAAATCCGGATTCAATCGGTTCTCAAAACGAGTACCGGACACAGAATAAAAAACCAAAAAAAAAATAATGTACACCCATTTCATATTTTGAATCTATTTAACAACATAAAAGTACCTGGAATATATGCAGAATGAATAACCAAATCTCCATGGGAAAGAGTCTTAACTGCAGAGCCAAAAGAATGTACTTCTCCAACCCCTTCCCATCCACCAATTGTTGGTACTTGTGGCCGTACTGGATAGACTCCTGCTATGCAATAATTCAGCAAAATTTATGGGGTTGGTGGGAGAATATCTATTCTAATAAAATTACTATTACTGATAATAAGGAGAAAAATAGTTGTAGTAATAAAACTTTTGATGCAAGATGATGCCAAAAGACTAGTTAAATCAAGGTTAGTGAAATTATTAGCAGGTTATTAGTTTGTCTAGAAGGCGGTTCAGTGCACTAAGTTCTCACTATGCGCGGGGTCTGGGGAAAGGCCGAATTACAACAGTCTATTGTGCACAACTTTACCCTGCATTCTTACAAGAGGTTCTTTCCACGGTTATTAGTTTGTCTAATTGTAAAAATGTTTACATGATAGTGGATCTCATATTAAAATAATAGTTAGTCACTTCATTAGGACATTAATTTGTATAATCCTGGAAACTTTTACAAGACATGATAACCCTAATTACTATAAATTACTAAGGTAAAAAAAACTAGTAGTACTAATTTATATAGTGGAAGCAAACTTTGAATTTATATCATGTGCTTCAAAGAGAAAACAGAAAAACAAAACTCAAAAGGAGGAACTTTAAGCATTTTCCTCTTTATGCAGTTTGATTTGGTAAACTGTAATTTTTCTTTGTAAAATATAATTATGATCCCGCCTAATTTTTCACGCTCTACATATGTGTAGAAAATTTTAACCACGTAAAATCATCACGAAACTAGCTATTCCAATTATCGTTTTCTCCTTTTTCCCAAATTTCATTTTTGAAGTTTCTTGGACAATGAAAATATTTTTCAAAAAAATATATAATTAAAAATTAATAATTAGCTAACTGAAGAGTGTTTTAAAGAAAAAATTGAGTCTTAGAAATTAATATAAGATCCAAATATTAGTTAAAGCAAGTAATATGAAATTAAAAGTTTAAATTATTATAAAAAAATATTTTCGCTCGTAAGGCAAGTCGTTTTTATTTTCTGAGAGCGAACATTTTCTGGTAGTCAAACACTAGAAAAATGATTCACTAAAAAATACATAACTTTTTCACAAAAAATACATTTCTTCATACAAAACACATCCTAGGGGTCAGATCTCAAGGACACAAAAAAATGCAATGTGATTTATTTATACTTGTCCTAGCATTGGAAGCCAAAGTTATCTGATCAAGTGTGGAGCAAGAATTTAGGTTAAGGATTCAGCGATCAATAGCTTTGGATCAAACTCATTATTTTCATTTAAAAAATTCATTAAATATATAAATTATTAATTTGCAATTAATAACTTAAAACGATTAGAATCATAAATGGTAAGCTTAAGCTTCGCCTCTTCTAACCTAATATTTGTGAAGTAATTATAAATTGCAAGTAATGACATGAACGAGCAACGGAGCTGGGGATTCGAAACTGCTTGGTCGAGAAATTATACTTTGTATGTAAAGTTAATTTTTTTTGTACAATATATGAGATATTGAATTTCTTTGGTTTCTCCGCATATTTAATTTTATTTTAATTTTTAAACTTTTTTGATAAATTCTAGCTCCGCTTCTGACACCACGCAATTCGCCAAATAAACCCAAGTTATCAAACCTTCTATTCTGTTAATATCGGCAGGGTTGATTGGAGCTGCGAGCATTCTTACACAGACGTCGTTCTCTGTGATCTTCACAGGCGGAATTTCAGTCACTCTGCAGAAAAAAATTTCATTTTAAAAATGCAAAAATACACCAGACAAAAGCATTTCTAATTGTACAGTATGAAATGGCCGGTAGTAGTACATTTTAAAAAAAAAAAGTATGAACAGTGTAAAACTAGAACAGGAACGTGTATGTTGCGACGGACCTAGTGACGGTGTCAGGAGGGCCGTGCTGGTCGTAGACAACGGCCGTAGAAGGCGGAGACACGGCGGCCGGAAAATCTACGATAGACTTTTGTTTTTCATGGCAAAAGGGAACGTAATGTGAACGTTGCGATAACATTATTTCCTCTCTCTCTAGTGTTTGTACTCAATTGCTAAGATTGGAGAAGTGTTGGTACTTAAATAGTGGTAAGCAAGAGATTCGCTGAAACCTACCACTGATTTTTATTTAACATATGCCCGATTTTTATTTAACAATACACCAAATATTTTACTAGTATTTGGACATAAAATTGGTTGAAACTTGAAAAAAAAAACTTTTTGGAATTGTGTTGAAAAAATAACATTTAGAAGTTGAAGGTGCGTTTAGACTTTGGACATGCATTTTATTTGAAAAAAGAGTCAGAAGTTTTGTCAGTGGATGAAAAAATTTCACCCAAAAACTGCCCTAAACCAGTTTTTGGAAATGTGAATCTTTTTTTTTTCTCAAAAAATGATCATATTCAATGAACAAATAATGTTTTCAAAACAATTTTAGAAAAAAGTTATCAAAATTTATGGCCAAACGGGAGCTTCGCTTTTTTGCAATTGGTTACTCTTTTGATCTTATTTTATACTAGTACTAGTATAACTTATGATGGTATTTAACTGAATACTAAATTTGCGATGCTAATTTCTATATACTCCTTTTGTCTCAATTTATGTGGTGCATTTTTTTAGTTTGTTTTAAAGCAAATAACACATTTTTATACTTAAAAAGAGTTTAACTTTAAATTATTTATTTAATGAGATGATTTATAGCTACAAAATATTTATAACTCATATTTTAGTTCACAATTTCCGAAAGTCTTTTTTTCTTGATAAACTATGGCCCAATTAAATTGCATCACATAAAATAGGATAGCTGGAGTAGAAATTACTACCAATGGAAAAAAATGTTAAAACGGTTTTAGTTGATTGAAAAGTTAATTAATAATATAAATAAACTATATCATAAAAATTTAAAATGTGAATCCTTAAGAAAATTAAAATAACGTCAAAAGTTTTGAACGAACTCAGATTTAAAGAAATGTCATAAAAAATTGACAAATAGACTATACTTACAACTATATTTTACACATAAAAAATGTGGTTTATTAAATGAGTATTGCAATTCCGACTCCTAGCAAGTTAATTATTCGGGTAAAATTCAAAAATAGCCAGATTTACAAGTGGTAATTGAAAAATAGTCACAGTTCTTAAAGTAATTGAAATGTAGCCACTTTTCATGTAAAGATAAATCTGAACCAAAACATTGTTAAAAATTCAAAAAATATTCCAGCATAATATACTGTAGTTTGAATTTTTGACATGTGAACTTTTAGCATAATATACTGAGTTCCAGCATGATATACTGGAGTTCCAGCATAATATGCTGGAAGTTTATGCACAGGTGCTCCAACATCTAGAATATTATGCTGGAACTTTTCTTGTGCTGGAGTATGCTGGAAGTTCATACACAGGTGCATGCGGATCCAGGATTTAAATCCTATTGGTTCAATTTTAATGTTTTTAATATTAAACCCATTATATTTTTAAAGTTATGGGTTCATATCTATTATTTTTGCAATTTTAATGAATTTTTACTTCGCGTCGAAAGTTATGGGTTCAGTTGAACCCGTAGTTATTACACAACATCCGCCTCTGAGGTGCACCAATCTCCAGTATATTATGCTGGAACTTTTTGTGTTGCAGCAAAATAGCGGCTATTTTTTAATAATTTTGTAAACACTGCTTATTTTTTAATTATCATTCCAAAAACTGGCTAGTCCATGCTATTTTCATAATTATTCGAATCGTATGAAGAAAGCACACTGTACCAATTTATAAAAGCAACCATAGGAAACCTCGAATAATTTGATTTATGCCAAGTCATCAAATAGCACCCCACGTGTTTTAAATGATTTGGAGAGTAGATTACACGTTTTTCCCAATAGTACGTTTTAACCCCTAAAGTTTCTATAACTTTATTTGAACCCCGGAACTCTCTGCAGATTATAGCTTCCAGGTACAGCCATCACATCTCCACCACTTCCATTTTTTTACAAAATTCAACGTACGATCTATAGAGATGGGGCAAACAGTTTTGGAAAAAGGAATCAAATAAGATTTAAGACAGATGTCGTGTTCTTAATTATGTCCCCCTCGAGTCCATGCAATAATTCTGGCCTCATACTTTGCAATACGAGAATTCCATTAGTTTTATATATAATAAAACAAAGAGGTAGGAAAAAGATTTTGTTCCCCTGTTTTAACATTTCTGGTTTATCTCAAATTGATTTTATGTACTATTTGTTCTTAAAATGAAAACTTTACACGTTTACTATTCTTTAACCAAAACTTTTAACGAGTCTCACTTTCTGTTGCTCCTTCTCTTTGAAAACTTTCTTTCTTTTCTTTTTTCATTTACATGCATGATGCAACATACAAACCTCGTACAACTAGTGTGAACAGTATTTTATTCTGCAGAATTCAACATTTATGCTAGAAATTTCATCAACAATATTCAAGATTTAGTGCGTGTATGAAAAAATAATATTTAACCGGCACATACATTATTCTTTTCAGGCAAAAGTGTAATTCGAACATAAATTCTTCAAAATTTTTAACATAAAAATCACATTATATAAAAGGTAATATAATTCATCGTAGCATATAATTTAAAATATTTAAAAAGAGTTTGAGTAAATTTTAGTTAAAGAAAAAAACTTAGTGTCCAAATTGTACACTTTCAGAGAAAATGGGATGAAGGTAATATACTAGTATTATTTACTGTTTAATTTTCACCGTATTTTCGTTTCTGAAACTGAAAAGAGAGAAAATACAGCACATGCACTCGTTTCGATCTTCTTTTTTTTTTTTTTATAACTATTTGATATTCAAAATTTATCGGTTCGACTAATTCAGATTCATGTCGTGTATGATCCTAAGGGGAACACCATTTACCAAGGATTTTTTCTATTTCTAAATATCAAAATAAAAACTTCCGATTAAAAGTTGAGGAATATCATTCATCTCATTCGGTAAAAGCCTCTTGGTTTGCCTATTTCTTCTTCTCTTCTTCTAGCCATAACTATAAGCAAAATATCCCCTTGGCAAAGCCTAATTGGAGCAAAGCCAATAAACTTAAATATGTAATGTGTGTATACGGTGGAAGTCGGGGCTATCCGATTTCGTTCTTCGATGGAAAAAGTGATACTATGTCGGAAGACCAGGACGTCGAGCTCGGGATAGAAGTTCCTTTCCAAGGTCGAGGACGATAACACTTACCGAGGTCAGAAGAAGGCATGCTTCGAGATGATGCCGGTATGATTTAGTAACGGAAAAAGCAAGATACCCGCATGGGCCGGAGATCACGGCGTGAATTTCGGAATGGATTGGTCTTCGGCGGTTAAACACTTGTCAAATATGATTTCTTACTATAATTGGAAGTGTATCTTATTTAGGACTCCCCTATTATATAAAGGGAGATCCCATTCATTTGTAAGATTCATTGTTAGCTGATAAAAAAGTATACACACATTACTCTCTTGCTATTTCACTTACTGTTCATCAGAGTTGCTTTATACTTTGCTATTCCTATTATCACACCTCGAGACTATCAGCTGTCGACGTCGAGATTTGGCTTACATACTGGTTTGGTTTACTTTGTTCTCTAATTTATCTATTTAATCCCTTGTTTATCAATTGACATTGAATTAAATCACATATCCTTAAAACCACAATACAAGTTTAATTGTTACTTGAATTTTAGGTAAATAGTTTGGCGCCCACCGTGGGGCTAAGGATAATAGTGATTGTTTTAGTGCTGATTCTGATAACACACGTTATTTTTACACTTGTTCTTGTCAAGTATTTTTGCTCTCAGGTTAAAGCATGTCAAACTCGCAAAATACACCTGTACATGGTGATGATGGTTATGGATTTCACGAGGAAAACGACAATGTAATTGCTCCAGGAGCCGGGTGCCACCTGCTAATCTCGGGGGAGCATCGATCGCCGAACAGTTGATATCAATTCGCACGTTGCTCTAAATGCGGACCGAGGCACAGACCCCGAAGGGAGTGTACGCACGGAAGGCCGATCTAGTGGCCAAGGTACACAGGGCAGAGAAGACGGGGGAGTTAGCTCCAGATAATATTCGAGATGTTATAGGCAACAGGCTACTATTTTTCGATTGCAAAATCAACATAGGACTCCAAGTGTGGTCGGGCCAGAAATCACTCGTTGTACCGAGCCAGTGCCAGAAAGGTCGAATGGTAACGAATCAAGGACTGATCCTGTAGTAATGAAAATGCTCGAAGAGCTCACCAAAAGAATTGAGTCGGGAAAGAAGAAAATCGAAGATGATGATAAAAAAGTAGAAACATACAACTCATGAGTTGATCAGATACCGGGGGCATCCCCGATCCTAAAGGGTTTGAATTTGAAAAAGCTCGTGCAGAAGCCTTTTCCTCAGAGTGCGGCTCCGAAGCCCATTCCTAAGAAGTTCTGTTTGCCCGATATACCTAAATACAATGGGACCACCGATCCTAATGAATACATCACTTTGTACACGTGCGGAATAAAGGGAAATGACTTAGAAGATGATGAGATCAAGTCTGTTTTGTTGAAATCATTTTGGGGAAACTTTGTCAAAGGGAGCAATGATTTGGTATCACTGTAAGCACGTGATTTTTGCCCTATATGAGAATTACTTCCAAAAAATTCAAAAATAAAATAATNTCACAACCTGCCACCAAATTCCATCGACTCATTTGCCATGCTAGCAGATTCTTTCATGAAGGCACACACCAGGGCCATAAAGGTCGCAACAAGAAAATCGGATGTTTCAAGATAAGACAAAGGAATAACGAAATGCTAAGGGAGTTTGTATCCTGATTTCAAATGGAATGCATGGAGTTGCCACCGGTCACAGATGATTGGGCCGTTCTAGCTTTTACCCAAGGGTTGAACGAGCGGAGTTCAATAGCATCACGATAGTTGAAACAAAATTTTGTCGAGTATCCAGCTATAACTTGGGCAGATGTGCATAATCGATATCAATTGAAGATCAGGGTCGAGGACGACCTATTAGGAGCCCTTTCCGGTTTAGTACATCCAAACAGGTTCGCAGTTAAAACC